GCAACACTACGTTTCGTGGTGCCAACTTTTCTTCCTTTATGATCCATCTGTTGCTACCATAACTTTCAACTGTTGGAGAAGAGATTTGGTTGGTTTCAGTTAGATGTGATTAATGTTGATGCAGTGAACTAAACGCTGTTCATCTGCGTTAATGCTGTGTTTATGCATTATAGGTGGTTCGACCCTTTTCGTTGAGGCATCATTGCGTAAACGTTTGGATGCGAACACTGAGTCAAAAAAGGAAGGAAGTTTGGAGCTGACGGGTCATCTGGGTGACGTTATGAAAGAAAGTGCAAAAATCGCTCTCACCTTTGCAAAGCGGTTTATAGCAGAAAATTTTCCTGAGCTCACGTTTCTGGAAAATGCGGACCTTCATATTCATGTTCCCGAGGTATTTGGTGTGTACCTTCTGTTGTGGACTAATGGCCTTGTTTTACTTTAGGGTGCCACTCCAAAGGACGGGCCTAGTGCTGGTTGTACCATAGTAACTGCTTTGCTTTCACTCGCTTTTGGTAAGCCTGTTGAACAGAACCTTACGATGACCGGTGAAATCAGCCTTACGGGACGAATCCTTCCCGTCGGAGGAATCAAAGAGAAAGTTATTGCGGTGCGTTGTTTCGATTTACAGTTTATATGGGTTTACAGATTAGTAATCCAGTCTGGTAACTGTCATACTTTGTTCAAAGTTAGGCGATAACTTATGCATCTAATGTTCCTTTCAGCGGGTGGTGGTACCGACCAATCATTTTCTCCTGGCAATGACACCATCGTTCGATTATTTTGTCCGTGTTTACATTCGGGATAGACTTGCATATCTGAAAAGCATGATATCTGATACGAAGAGTTATTTTCTTCAGTCATTATTATTTTCTGTACTAGCCAGCAGTGTCAGATTGTCCTAGCGACTGGAGAAAATATGTTCTGCCCTGGTATGCTGTCTAATACGCTGAGCAGTATCGTTCTTTACGATATGGACGCGAGATTTGTAAAGATCCGTTCAATTGCAGTGGTAAATACATTGAATGTATAAGTTTGTAACACAGTGTCTGTTTCTTTGTCAGAGGTTTTCTGAAAATCTATTTTTGGAACTATAAACTTACGTTAAATAACTCGGTAAATTGATTTATTTGATATTTTAAATTAAGACAGCCTATTTAACAACCGTTTATTTAAAAGGTGTTTTATGTAAACGGAAGGATGGGCTCATAGCCTCATAGAAATAGGAAATTGTTCAAAAAGAGAAAATAGCACCTACAGGACTGTCAATACTCGACAAGGTTTTCATATGCGTTCTGCTAGAGGAAACGAGACGTTTTTAGTCAGATATCGCTGAGGTTTCTCCAATGGTAGAACGTTGGATTCTACAATGAAGAGGTCCGGATTCGAGTTAAGGTCGGATCATTCTCCTTTCCTACCTGTTAGGTAAAGAAACACATTAATGCTGTATTAGGTATAACCTTAAAAAGCAACCGGAGAATCCTGGCTGATGACATGGGAACGGAGATTATTTTCGTGTCATAAGCTTCGTGAAAGAATGCTGCCATAAAATGACTCTCAGACATGAGACGTGAAATTCTGATGACAGAAACGGCGATTTGTGCCATGTCATACGCTCAGCGAAAGAAGGATGCCACAAATGGGGCTCAGTCACATGATAATGGAAGTGAGACTGATATACCAATGGCTAAAGACTTTCCTTGCTTTCGTTATGTCTGACTTTACGGCCAGTTTCTGGGCAGTCGATTAACCTCTTGTTAAGACTGTTCGCAGCGATACAGCAATTCGCAGCGATCAACCAACCGTTGCTTGCGGTCGGTGTGGATCAAAGTAGATCATTCACGTCCTGAGCTGGCCTGGCTGTTTCTCTCTGTCAAGGGCAATGCGCCCCGTTCTTGCTGCTTAATATGCGAATTCCAGAACCTTAATGACGTATTTGTTCAGAACGAATCTGAAAGAACCAGATTTGCGAGAGCAACTGTTTATACGTAACATTCTGATCTGCCATTAAACTTCTATGTAATCATTGCCTTTTATGATTATAGAGTAATGGGGTGTAAGGATGTGCTTATGCTGATAGTGTGCACAAGCTAATAAACCTAACTCACTGAATCGATGTTTCTAAAATAGTTCTCAACATACCAAGAGTGAGACTAAAGTATGTTCATCTATCTGCTGTTTGCAGTCATCGACGCCGTACTTCGAATTCTTGTTCAACGTTCTTCACAGTAATTCTCTGATCCTTAAATGATTGCACAGATTCGCTGAGCTTCAGTAGCTGTCTGCATAAGACTAAGGTTTAGGGTCTAAAAACACGCTTGACGTCATTGTTCATATGGATGGTTGAACAGTGAAGACGTAAAGTGAGTGAACAGTCTGAACAATTTATCGGGACGCTGTAGGCTGAGCTGTTCCACGGTACCAGTCGCTCCCCATGCCGCACATCTAATTACCAATGTTTTTAACTCACCACAGTACGGCTTAGCCAGTCATACATTCTGCCAGTGCTGTCATAAAGAAATTTTGACTTTTCAGAAGGTAGGTGTGAGTAGCCTTAAGACATCGCATTAGAGGGTCAGAGGCCTCTTCTCAACATCCAATCGCATGACCATTCCAGACGCAACGCTAAGAGAGTTAAACTACTTCCATAAGTGTCAATATCAGATGCAGCTGAGTCCGTCTTGCTGCGTCCATAAACAACCGCAATGGAGTTCGTGTTATTGGTTCGATGGCCTTGAAATGGTGG